GGACCAGTCACTGGAGAAGGATATCATGTTTGGTAAGGTGGAGGGTCAGAGAAAAAGAGGAAGCCCCCCCCTCCTCCTCCCCCCAACGAGATGGATTGGCCAAGTGGCAGCATGAATGGAATCAAGCGTGGCAACAAGTGTGAGATTGGCCCAGGACCGGACAGTGTTTCATTCTGTTGTGCATTGGGTCGCTCTGAATGGGTACCGACTTGTTGACACCTAACAACAACAATATTAGACTAGAGAAAAAAAGTATCTAAATTTATTAACTTTATTTATTTAATTTTTTACCCATTTTGGAAAGTACAAGGGGGCTTCAAAAATTTGTGGGAAAAAAATTTCATTATTTTTCAGTTTCGTTTTTCCACTAACTTTTTGAATCTCCTTAGTATAATTGTTCAAACATTATTCTACATTACTACTAACAATACTTTAATGAGGATATATTTTGATCAATCTTTGCATGATTAATGTTGAACCTGTGTTTTGTGTTCTTAGAGAGAATGTCAGTTTTTTAGTTGCTGATTTGTACTTAGACAAGACAAGCATTGAGGAAATATTTTCTATTATACAATGTGCTGGAACACAGAACTTAATTTGCTGGGAGAACTATTTCCTAAGATTCCAAGTTTATTTTGTCAAAATATTTTATGAACTAAAGATGCTTCTTTGAAACCGAAAAGAGATTAAATTTCAGTGGTTTCTTTTAAAAAACAAAATAAGATGGACTTTTGTTGTGCATCGAAAATATGTTAATATGGCCTTAAATTTTGATTTATTGCTTTGAAAGATTCATTTGGTCCCTATTGGAGTCCTGGTGTGGCACTGTAGGGTAAACTGGATGGCTAAACACAAGATGAGTGGTTCAAACCCACCAGTCATTTCTTGGAAACCCTGTACAGGGTTGCTATGAGTTGGAACCAATTTAACGGTACTTAACAACAACATAATATACATTTTATGGTATATGTTACTCAGGAATATAAATAACAAAATGAACAGTGCTGCTTTTCAGGGGGATGCTGATGTTTACATATATACATAACATATACAACCACATGTAATTGGTTGCATAATCATATGAGACATTTACATGACATAAAAATTTACATTTGGATATCAATCCTGAAATTCTTTATGTAAACATGTTTTTCAGTTATTCTACTGATAAGCTATTTTTGCATAAACTATTTTGTTTTGACTTGGGCACCAAAAGCAGATTCCTCTTTAGATATACAGGGACTTTGTACATCTTTAAATTAATCCTGTGTAACCACTACACTACCAGAGCTCCATATATGTATATTTAATATCATATAAAAGTTATATATATATAAAATTAACTGTGACCTTAATGCTCCCCACACAAATGAAGAATTAAACACATAGTCCCTGTCTGTTTTTCTAACTGAAATAAGTATAGATGTATGTAAGATGCTTTGTCTACTTGTTCAGTCCTAGAGAATGATGCTTTATGTCTGACCTATGAAACCACATCACTAAACACATAGCTGCAGTCAGATGCTGAGCAACAGCTGTAATGATGCTACCTACTGCAGTGGTTCACTATTATGTGAAGCATACATTAGTATAAAATGTTATTTTTTAGTCTGAAGCCTACATTTCATATGCCATTTAGGAGATTCTGTTAACATTGTACACCACCTTAGTTTTTTAAATATGTTTTTTAAAATCAAATAATTGTAATTTTAAAATCATACATTATTTTGTTGGGGCTAAGGGAAACAAAATGCCACGATACGGTTATAACATGTATATATCTTAAAAGAAACTTAAAATAATAAAATGGTTGATGACATTATTATAATTAAGCCTAGGTATGCTATTGTAATTATTTCTTTGTGTTCTGTCATGATTTTATTGTACCTCTGAAGTAGGTGTTTTTACTGAGAATGAAGAGGGCCTTCTGTTTTATGTGTTTTGGTTTTTTTTCCAAAACATAAGTGTATTTATGTTTTTATTTAGTATTTATTTTTAGATACAAACACTCTAACCTACTATTATAGATAATAAATATTATAAATTTAAAAATTTAAACAAATGAACCCAGTTACATAAAATTAACATGGGTGCTTAAATCTTGAAGGGAAAAATGTCACCAAGTAACTATTTGAACATTCCTCCTATTTCAGAAAAAAGTCTTTAGCATTCATTACTTAACTCTACAAAGGTTGAGTTGTACGCAGAGATAGAATGCATTGTGAATCAGAGCAATGAAATACTCTACATGTTGTTAGTACATTCCATATTTTGCCTAAGATAAAAATTTTTGCTCTTACAGGTGGCTATTAATGCCCATCACTGTGATAAATATTGTTCAGGTGGTTAATAAAAACTACTGTTTTTGTTGCTAAAATATGGGATTAAAATCTCTTCAGTTTTCCCATACATTTATTGAATTTTTGTCCATTGCAAATACCTCTCAAAACCATGTAAATAAAGATAATTTATTATATTCTAAGATGGTAAGAAAACAAAACTAAACTCCTGTTTGTTATAACTAAGGTTCTTTAAGGTATTCAATTCAAGCTAAACTAGATCTATAAAATTTACATCATAGTTGATGAAAATTGAATCTCTTTATATTCCCTAGGGATAAATTAATATTTATAGTGTTATTATTTTAAGTTTTTTTTTGTTTTTTTTTTCAGTAACTCTCCACACATGCCAACAAGTACATGTAAACAACTCGACATTAATTATCTGTGATGTATAAAATGATTCCAATAAAACAAATCTTCACTCCAGGGCTATTAGAATTAAAGCTGAAGCTATGTAGGTCACCTGTTGCTTTTAGGTACTAGACTCTAATCCAGGCAAGATTCCCTTTGGTCTTTCAGGAAAAAAAGTCATACTTTAACAAATAATGCAATGAGCTATTCTTGTTCGAAAAATCTAGGGAATGTATTTTTAATAAATTTAAACTTTAGAAAATAACACTGTACTATGCAAATATATGGCTTTCTGTAATTGCTTATGTAACTTTTATAATGATTGTATTAATAAAGATTTATTTTTATAAAATGATGTATTTCTTTTATAACCTTTGGTCATCATAATGTAACTTAACTCAGTTGCTCCTCGGAAATGATGGCAAAACTTCCTATCCTGTACTTTGCACAGGTTACTAGAAGGGTCCAGTCCCTCGTGAAGGACATCATGCTTGATAGAGGGTCAGTGAAAAGGAGGAAGACACTCTGATGGTCTGACACTGTGGCTACAACAATGGGGTTAAACATAATCAGTGCTGCTTGGCCAGTACAAGAACGGTTAGTGTTGCTTTCGGTTGTGTTAGAATCAATTCAATGGCAGCTAACCACAAATTGGATATGTTAATAGGGATGCTTATTAAGAAATGGAACCACCTGGTTCAAATTCACTGGCCGCTCCTCAGAA